GATCATTATTCAATTTGGGCCGATCTGAAGAACATGATTTAAATTTGTATTTAAATTTTAATTTATTTTCTATTAATCTAAATCACGTGAAATTTTAGGCATCTATTCTTCTTATCAAGGCGCATTTAATAAAATATTAAAAATATAATTTACAAAATATAAATTGACAAAAATACTCTTAAAATGTTTCAGAGGTATTTTGATCAATTTGTTTCACACAATATTTTTTTGATATTTTTATTGGCTTGGTGTGACATCTTGATATGAGCGCCAGTTTAGATCCATAGCAAATTCGAAAGAATTTTCACGGGGATCACATATAATTTATACCAATTTATATGACAGAGTTCGTGATGATGTGCTAAACTCCACTGCCTGTTTGATCCGGTTTAGTCCTTTCTCCTCATCCTCTCTACTTAGAACATGGAAGCAAGGTCTTCAACCGTGTCAATAACGGCAGCCACATTTGAATAATAGTAGTAAATTAAGTAATTTTGAATGTCTTTTTCACAAAAAGATCATATTGTTAATCTTAACGGGTGCTCTTCTATAATACACATGGTTTTGCAAGTTGGTTCATGCATGTAACTTTGAGAAATTATAAGGAGCATCTCAATATGCTTCCCACTTTCTAGAAGCATGGTCTTTCCAAATTGCAAGCCAAAGCAAGATATATCCCCCAGCATGGGACAAATTTCATAATTCCAGTAGCATCTGATTTAACATGCTTTAATTTATCTGATGTGAATGAAAACATAAATAATTGGGAAAATCGTCTTGAAAGAGGCTGAAGACTCAAAGTTTTTAAATCTCATTTTGTATATGAATTTATTATTTCGATGAGATTTGTACAAGGCGCGCCTCAAACTGTTGCAGTATCAAAAATCTTATATTGGTTTGAAAAATCTATGTAAAATCTTAATGATGAAATTTAAAATCTGAAAAACCATGCATATTTAATAGATATGTAAATACTTGAAAATCATGAAAATAGATAGTTTAGATATCTTCTTATAAGATGCATTATTTTTAGAAGAAATTACTTAACGGACCATATTGGGAAGGGTCTAATTACTTACGGATCATTTGGTGTTAATATGCCCAGTATTACGAGCACCATACATTCCTCGTGACCTTTTTATTTTTTATTTTATTTTTATTTTTCTCTAAGTTGTCCCCCTATCCAAAACACCTAAAAGGGGACTATTCTTTCTTAGTCCTTTGCCTGATGTTTGAAATCCCGAACATCTATTGTACTATCCCCCCAAAACTAACATACCTTCTTTAAATGTAACATGCTCTCCCCCGTCATCGTAATGCTCTTCTTTCATCACTTCTTCGATAAATTCTATGGGGCTTTTCTCACTAGACATTAAAGAAGCGAAATAAGAGTCGAACCTGTTGTAATATTCATCTTTGTTGAGGAAGAAGATCAGTGGATATAAGGGATGAGCTCCCCATGCCCGCTCGCTGTACGCATGATTCTACCTCAACCCCTTATTTGAATAAAATTTCTCTCACCCCATCATTTGAATAAAATTTCTCGCTTTCACCCCCTTATTTGAATAAAATCTCTCTCCCCCCCTCAGCCCTTTATTTGAGGAAAAACTCTCTCTCTTATTTGAAGAAAAACTCTCTTTCACACACACTCTCTCTCCCCCTCACCCCTTATTTGAAGAAAAACTCTCACTCTCTCTCTCTGTGCAGAAAAAATGATATATGGGAAGGATCAACGGGCCCTTGGTTATCAAATGCCTCACAAGCCCAAAAGAAATTTGACTTTTTGTGGAATGAACGAATTGTGTATACTCCATAAGGCATTTGACTGTGAGGCTTACGGGACAGCAAAGAACCCATAATTTTTTTCTCTGAGATTTTTAAGATTTGTCATGAATTTCGCTTTGGAGCTTAACTGTGTATGCAATGGGGTAAGTTGCTTAAAAATTGAATTTGTTGGTTTTGTTCATCTCTCTCTCTCACTCCGTTGAATTTAAGTACCGGTTAAATTGAGAAGCGCCCCATAGAATTTGCTGAAGAGTTACTGAAAGAAGGGCATAACTGTAATGGGTTTAATACAATCTATGTTTGGAAAGCATGTTCTATGTTAGCAATTGACCAAAGGAAGAACCTGCTGCATTCAAAGAAGGCTAGTTTGTTTTTGGGGATAGCTCATATTGGTATTTCGAACACCGGATAACAAAGAACTATAAAAAAATAGCCATATATCCAGTGCTTTCATTGAGCAATTTACAATAAAAAAAAAAAGCCTCAAATGGTACTAGACCCTCCCAATATGGTCCGTACATAATTTGCTCTTATTTTTAAGACTTGAAATTTTATTTATTTTTCTTTATATCCATGCATTTCGAGATTGAGATGATCAATTAGAAATTTTTCCAACTTTAAAACACTCTTTTCTACTTAATTTTTTGAGGTGCACCTTATTTCTATAGTATAAGGTTGCAACAGCATATAAACTTTATCCTTGTTATTTTGTCAAACGATTGTATGCTCCCGCAGATATAGGATCCCTCGGGTAAAAACCTGAGTATTTTTACAACCCCAAATTGTGGGATGTAGCCGCTCCAAAGCTATCAACGTTATTTTTCTTTTTCTTTTTAATATGCATTTTACATATGCCTGAAATAATAGCACCCTAAAAATGAATGGGCGCCATTTGTGTTTTGGATGGTGAGATCTTACGCATAAAATTTAGTCCTTTATAAAATTCATCTATTTATTATAGAGAGATCCAATATTTTAGATCAAGAAAGTACTCCCAAATGATCTCTTGCTCAAGGGATTAAGTGTACAATATGCTTTTGGGGGAGCTCGTTATTTGTGGCCTTATATTTTGGATACTGCATTTTATTGGATTATTGACCTTTTGGGGTTTACTATGAGCTCAAATTAGTGTTATCAGGGAACGGACCGGCTACCGAATGGTGAGGGATTTGGTCCAGTCAAAAGCAGTATGATTGTTCGTTGAACTAGTTTGACCAGAATTTGAAAATTAAAAAACATATGAATAAGAGTTTAAAAATATATAACATATTAGAGAAAAAAGTTTCCCACTTTGTTTAGCTTGTTGAACCAATCCAAACCAATTGGCTGGACTATCCAAAATTAGTCAAATACTCGTTTTGACATATTTTTTATCAAACCCTATTTTCACTCTAGACCGGACAGGCCAAGGCACCAGTCAGTAGTTTAACCTTTCAAACTGCCGTTTTTGTACGGTGTTGATAACTATGGCGCAAGCTTTTATGTTATAAGTCCAGACGATCATTTCCAATCTTAGAGATCATATATTAATTAAATTTGACAAACAGATGAAAATATCTCCCTCTATTATTAAAAATGAATAGAACTCTTTAAATAAAACTCTTTAATATTAGTTCATCATATAATGTATAGAAAGTGTCCTAAATTTTATCATGGCTCATTCATGATTTCCCTTAATTTTTATTGTTTTCTTTATAGATATATTTAAATTATTTTAATCTTTAAATCAAGAGAAAGTATAAAATGAGACCATTTACTTTTGGTACAAGGTGGTCACATTAATCTTGACCATTGGTTGTGAAATTGGATAGTAGCAATTATTCTATTGACTGAGCTCTAATTTGAAAATAAGTTTTCTTGAACTTTGTGACACATTCAAACTAACAAATTTCACATTGAATAATTGTAAATATACCTTGCATCAAAAGTAAATAATCTCAT